TTCAGCCAAATTCAAATTTCAAGTGAAGTGACATTTCTAGCAGATGACAGTTCAAATGTTTTCAATGCCAAACAATGATAAGTAGATTTTCGTAATTTTTGCCATTTATTTTTCCAATATTACTATAGTTTTATCGTTCATTAAATCTTGAAAATTTTCTTTGACAAACTCTAAAAAGAATTATCAAAATCCGAATAACCGTTCAGGAGGAGTATCGAATTATACACCCGTACAGAAAAATTTTATATATAAGATATTTGTTAAAGATTTCTTAAGAGTGTTTATTTTGTAAAACCACATAGTTAGTTTCACTATTCTGATACTATACAAAAGGACCTTTCAAACAATACCCAACAAGCCCAATTTCAAACAATATTCAAATTTTTCAAGTAAAACTTCTTTAAGCTCGTTCACTACACATTCACGATGAGTGTTTTCTTTGTAATTTTTACCATGTATTTCTATAATATGACTATAGTTTTATCGTTCATTAAATCTTGACAATTTCCTTTGACAAACTCTAAGAAGAATTATCAAAATCCGAATAACCGTTAAGGAGAAGTATCAAATCATACACAGTAAAGAAGAATTTTATATATAAGATATTTGTTACATATTTCTTAAAAGTGTATATTTTGTAGACAAACCACATAGTTAGGTTCACTATTCTGATTCTATATTCTGTTCACTATTCTTTCAAACAATACCCAACATGCCCAATTCCATTCCAACAATATTCCATTTTTTCAAGTAAAACTTCTTTAAGCTCGTTCACCACAAATTCATAATGAGTGTTTTTTTTGTAATTTTTGCCATTTATTTCTACTATATTACTATAGTTTTATCGTTTATTAAATCTTAAAAATTTTCTTTGACAAACTCTAGAAAGATTTATCAAAATCCGAATAACCGTTTAGGAGAAGTATCAAACCATACACCCGTACAGAAGAAATTTATATATATAAGATATATAATATGCAAATGTTTCAGCCTTTTCGCTGATTAGAAGGAAAAAGGAGGCGTTGATCCTTCCTGTCGGCGCCTCCGTGTCGCCTCTCACACTACGAAGACTAAAAGGGATGTGTCTGCGCCCCCCGGACTATGACTTCTGAAAGCCTCAACGATTTAATGCGAACTTTAACATGTTACACATTAGCATGTAAAATTTATTGCAGATTGTTAAAATTGAATAATAAGGAGGTGATGGTGAAATCAAACAGGGGCGATTTTATAAAAGATTTTGAATTAGAGATGGGTAATTTACTCCGGAGTTATCACTCCAATACAACTAGGAGTGAATCCGAGTGGAGTTGTCTCACAGGATTTGTCATATCCGACTTCCATAAACTGGTACTAAATCTGTTAACATGTGCAGATATTTGCTTGAGATTTTTTACTAATACAAAGATTTGGGTCGAAAGAAGTGGTCTTGTTTCTCGTCTCACAGGCAGTTTTAGGACTTTCCAGGTATATAATGTCTCTAAATAATGCTATTTTATATTCTATATTTTATATACGATAATGTTTGTCCGCAAATGAGCTCTTTCAATGGTATACAAGCAGCTAAAAATATTTAGCATTATATTATAACTTTTACTCAATTATAGCTTTATAACCGTGTAAAAGTAATAGTATGCTAATTAAACTACCTAATGTATAATTAATTCTCGAAAGGGAAATAATAAAAGAATGTGAGGTATTATTATTTTGTAAAAAATATTATACCCACAAATTTGTTCTTATTAACTTCCCGTAGGGTAAGTTATTCTAATCGTCCAAAAATCGAAATTGAAAATTTTTGCATTTCTCGACGTTTTGAAGGTTTTGAACGTTTTGGCATACCTCAGAAAAAATGGATGTGTGTGTGTATGTGTGTTTTGTATGTCCGCATTTTTTCATCAACGTTTTCGGACGCACGGATCAACCGATTTGAATGGTTCAAAAAATATTCGATCCCTATTGATAGGGAGATGTGCTGATTAGTTTTTGGCAAAGGCTGGTTCAGCCGTTTCGGAGATACGGAGCAAAGAGTGCAGAAAATACAAATCGAGTTTTTGGGAGAACGGAGTATCGGATTTGAATGATCTAATAAACATTCAATTTGTAATGATTGGGAGAAGAGGTGATTAGTTTTCGGCAAAGACAGGTCCCGCCATCTCGAAGATACAGAGCTAAATGTGCAAAAAATGGCAGTTTTTGAGTGAACTAAGCGTCCGATTTGAATGATCTAAAAAACTTTCTGCTTGTATTGACAAAACAATTGCTTTTGGGGAAAAAAATTATTACATCTTTTTTTATTTTCCATAAAATATTTTTGTAATTTTGGATTAAAAATTCAAAAAATGACCCAGGCTAAGCACAGTCTAAGCGCCACTCTCGTACAAATGTTTACCCAAGTGCGTTTAGAGTGTGACTATGCAGGAGCACGTAACTATTAAAGGCAACTATTTTTTTGAAATTGAATTTGAAATTGAAAATGACGATTGTTAATGTTCTGGAGATAAATGGATTTATGATTTACATTTGATTTGCTCAGATATAACAATAAGATGGCAAAAATAATGAAAGTCACACAGTATTCGTAATAATATATTTGAAAAGGTTTAAAATTTCTCGAATATTTCATTACGGTACGGGAAGTTCCAGCAATTTGCCGTAAGGCACGATGCCATTCACCATTGGTTTTTCTTTTACTTTTGAGAATCTCTGTCGTCAGTTATCTAAGAAATGGGAATGGGAGTCCTTGTTGATGGTTTTGGTTACGCAAATACAATATTACACAAGAGGATGAATTATACACAGAACTCTCTTATGGCACACCCTTTGATATTGACTCGATCTAATATTACATAATCGTATTTATTATCTAATATAATATAATATATCATATAATACATACGATACGATACGACATAATCCAATTATATAATTATCGTTTCGGTTGTGCAACTAGGACATGTTGCGAAGGAAATTATTTGAAAAAAAAATAGAGAATTAAAAAAAAACAGTACTGGCAAAATTAATTTAAATTGATATCTTAATTAACATCCCATAGGGCAGCGGTTTCTTTCGGAACATTTTGGCATATTTCAGAAAAAATGGTATTTTTTTGTATAGCGAAAAAATGCCTATATGCATCCCAGATTGGGATGAAAAAAAAATTACAAAAATTAATATTAATAATATTAATATAGTGATACATTATAAATTATATATTTATGATAGCTTTAAAAATATGAATAATATTTGAAAACAATAATGTAATTAAAGTCATACTTCAAATACGACATGATCGGTTTGTCATTGTAATTAGCATTTAGAAATGAACCTTCATTAGAGAAGTGAAGTAATTGCTGATTAATAAATTCTATTATATTCGTTCACACAGTGGATTATGTCAAACAACTACCTAAGGAAATATTGTTTTCACAACTTCACTCATCATGTAATAATTGTGTTTGAAGAACTTCATGTAATTAAAATTAACATACATTCATTGACTGCTTGTATTTTTTTTTACTTTTTCACTGTCGATACAGTCTCATTCTTTGAACAGCTGTAATATCTGTCTTGTCTATAAAAATATTTTTCATTTCAATAACTTCAAAGGTTTATAGAAACTACGAATAATATAGAAATAATTTCTAATCAATAAACTTACGTTTAGTACACGGCACAAATGTTTAATTTGTTTTATTATTTTCAAGGAACAGGGTAAAATATTCTACTGATTCAGGCATTTTTCATTAAATCAAGATTTGTACTACGATGTAAATTTAAAATGTTTATTTATCTATGCCGATTTCCTTGTTGATATCGGTACGCATACAACGACAGATCTCTATTCACATACACGACGACTAATCACAATCGACCCGTATAGAAATGATATCACCGAGAGCGAATGACGAATCATTGGCACTCGACTCTGCCGTAACGCACTTCCGTTGCATTTGTGCGGATTTACACCCTAGTCGCGCCTAAAGAAGTTTTACTTCAAAAATTTCAATTTCGAATTATGGACGATTACAATAACCCTACGGGAAGTCAATCTTCCTGACGAAATAACTCCAGAACGCACGAACCGATTTCGACAATTTTGCATTCGTTGGAAAGGTCTCGGGCTCCGCAAGGTTTATATCTAAGAAAATTAGTGGTGCATCGTGTCTTAATTAATGCAAATTGCTGGAACTTCACGCACCGTAATTAAAAATGTGAGTAATGACATTAGTGAGAATTATCAGAATTATGCTTGGTTAAGTCAACCAGCAATTCTTGCCGCAAAGAATAATGATATACACGCACTGAATTTCACCATTAAATCAAAAATTGCTGGCGATTTGGTGACATACCAATGATTCCGACTGGTCTTCCGTTTGACTTCAAACGATTGCAATTTCCAGTTTGCCTTGCGTTCGCAATAACAAGTCGCAAGGTCAATCGTTTAGTGTTTGCGGGATAAATTTCAAATAGATTTATTTACAAAATAAATGTTTTTCACATGTACAGTTATACGTTGCCTGTTCACAAGTTGGAAAACCATCTGCTTTGTTTGTGTTAACGTCAGACCAAAAAACAAAAAATGTGGTTTACCAAAGAGCACTTCAATGAAACGGATAATTTGCGGATTCACTTTCATTTACTTAAAGAAGTTCAACTAAAAAACACTTCATTTTTGTAATCGAAATAAATTTATTACTGTTGTGTAATAAAATCAAATTTTTCCTTTTCAAATATAAAACAAACAAAAAAATTCTTCATCTTTCTCACGAAACCATCTGGTGGCGAAACGGAGTTCGTCGGGTTTGCTAGTAAATATATAAATTTAAATTACAAAACTCGCGCCCCAATCCCTTCCTGTCATTATCCAGTGCGCAAACCTCACGCAACGAAAAAACAAACCCTTCGCCCCTTCGCTCAACATGGCCGCCTTGCAGCTAAGTTTGCGTCGGTGCGCGTCCTCGTCAGTCGCATCTGTCAAATGACATGGCCATCGACGGCGAACAACGGGACGAACGTTTTTACATTGAATTTAATAGAAATATCGCACAAATCGTCGCCGGTCGCGAGTGTTTCAGTTTAAACAAAATGCCTACGAAATTCTATAAATCTTTTGAGCATTACGACTCGAAACGGCACTCGATAGCGCTGGGCGATAACAGAACGATCGCCTCGAGGAATATATTATAAAAAGCGTTTCGTTCGGTGCACCTCTAGTCAGACGTCAGTCGATAGATAGACATAGTACACTTACATTACTTACAAATACTGTGTAATAAATTATTATTTTAATTTTAAATTATTTATTTTTATCGTTGACATTTACGTTTTTTATTTTCGGGAGTGTCATTTTTAGTGTCTAGTGTATAGTTTTGATTAAGTGTTTTTTCTGAGTTTTTGCGGTTAGTTTTTGTGGTGCACTCAAGGATTTTCATAGAGATATGTGAGTAGCTTTTTTTGTTTATATTAATGTCGGAAAATGTGTGCGAAATTTTTATATATAAATCCCCTGTTGCATCGTGCGCAATGTCAAATTATTTTTTGTTCGGGTTAACCTTTTATCGACTTTTGTTTATATAAATTATTTACATATGGCATCACGTATAATTAAAATATATTTATATATATATATATACTAGATGACCTGGCAGACGTTGTCATGTACCCACGTCTAAAATTTTTAAATTCCCATACAAATATTTAACGTTTACCTAAAAATAATAATTATTGTTTTTTAAATTACTCTTTGCAGTAAAATGCATATACATTTTACAATATGAGCGATTTTAAATGTAGAACTGCAATAAATTAAATGATGAGTTTCAATTCCCATACTATATTCGAAATTGAAGTCTTTTAAACGATATAACAAATTCAGATAAAATTAATATATAGTATCCGAGTTAAAAGTACAATATTTCCTTGGATTCTTTCACTCAAAATAATTGCTTCAATAATATTGCCTATAATTTTTATAATCTCGTATCTTATTTTAACTGGTTCTTAGTGATTATAATATCTAAATTACATTTTTCTTAGTAATAATTTAATATACATTATTACCAGGGACGCTCCTGGGGTCCTCAGCGCCTCATGCCATTTTTTTCTAGCGTCCCCCGGGTATTATTTTACCTGTTTCAACAATTTATTATTAAAATTAGCATTAATTAATATTTGGCTTTTGAAACATTTTACTTATTTATTTTGGGCATTGCGATTTATTCTATTAAGCAAATCATAGAGAGCAAAAAATTCTAGCCTTTTATTATTGAACATAACCTTAACATAACACTGGTGCTTCATGTTGGTTAAATTAATTTAATTTTTTATTATTTAAGATTTTGAAAATTGCATCTTAAACTTCTCCTAATTGATATCATAAGGGCAGAATTGTATGTATTCATATTTACTTTCCCATTTGTTGTTTCAAAGTGAAATTTTTAACGTTTTTTAAAAATATTGTGCAAGGATTAGTAAAAGATGCAAAGAAATTAGATATTTCTTGAATAATACTGAAAAAAAACTATATTAAAAACTTCATATCCGAATCTTGTGTTGGCGCCCCCTAATGCGTGCGCTCGGTCATACTTAATTTATTATTTTTACTCGGTTATTACTTAATTTCATATTTTAAGTGAATTAATTTGTCAAATTCTGTTCGTATGCGTATCATTCAATCTGCTATACATATACTGTCTCATATTTTTTTTTAATTTCTGGCACATTTCAGCTGCTTTTTGACAATAATAATGTAGACATTACATTTTTTTATTCATAATCATGAATTTATTATGCATATCCTAATATTGTCTAGGCTCATAAGTAAATTGAAATTTTAGGCAGATGACAGTGTTTTCTTTTGTTTTCAATGCCAAACAATGCCTTATATATTTTCTATGACAAGTCGTTTTTTGCATTGTTCCCATTTATTTTTACAATATTACTATATTTTTATAATCACATACATTCTAAAAAATTCCCTTAACAAATTTCAAAATGATTTATCAAAATCCAAATAATCGTTTAGGAGTATATTTACATACATCATTACAGAAGAATTTTATATATAAGATATAACTAGTGCAAATTGCTGGAACTTCCCGTACCAGAATTGAATAAAAACATTTAATAAATATTAATTAAATGACTAATAACAATTGAAAATGAAAGAATGAATGCATTTGAGGTTATATTTTTTATAATAATGCATATGAAACATTATCTATTTTTTTAACTGAAGTGTATATTTAAAAAAATTATATTTAAAGTTGAAAAACTTTGTATGTGTTTGAGAATTTTGAAAAAAAAATTTTGTAGAAATGTTTTTGAACTGTATAAGTGTACTTTAAAAATTGCTGAATGATGACACGCATACGGTGTCGAAACGTACAAAATAAGTAGTTCAAATATTTATTGTTTTTTATTTTGACTATTCGCCTAAAAATTAACATTTAAGAATGGAAATTGATATGTGTACATATACGTATGTATATTTGTATGTATATATGATATTTATATACATATGTTGTATATACATATTACGAAATCGATAACGTTTTCCTAAACGTCACATCTTAATGTCACGTAACACTCATAAATAAAATACTTCAAAATTAGCTTCATTTTCTGAAATCTATCAATATGATTATTAAAAATTTGTTTAAATTACAAAAATTTTGCAAAAATTGGTCAACGAATGCAAAAGTAAAATCATTAAATCAAATGCTGCATTATTAGGATCGAGTTAAATTTAAAAAATGACTTAATTCATTATTATGTATTGTTATTCGAATAATTGTAAATTCACAACACTACACTTAAACATTTTGATCAATTTTTATTTGTTCGATATTAAATGGTTGCATTTTTCAGAAATTCTGATTCTTATAATTGATTTCAAATTTTAGCGGTGAGCGTGTCCAAGTTCAGGGGTACTCAGATCGAATCACGGTCGAGTACAACATGTACATAGTAAAATTTTTAGTAATTTTTTATCTGTTCGATATTAAATTGTTTTATTTCTTTAAAATTCTAATTCTTATATTTGATTTCAAATTTTGGCAGCAAACGTGTCCAAGTACAGGGGTACTCCGATCGAATCCTGGTCGAGAAATTGTATGCAAATAGGAAAAATGATTTAGACTCGAAAAATTGCCAAGGATAAATTTTAGTACAGGATTAAAATAAATTATCATTATTAGTTATAATAAATAATACAATATATCATATATAAAATTCTTCTGTAATGATGTATGTAAATATACTCCTCTTAAACGGTTATTCGGATTTTGATAAATATTTTTGGAGTTTGTTAAGGGAATTTTTTAGAATGTATCTGATTATAAAAATATAGTAATATTGTAGAAATAAACGAAAAAAATTGCAAATGTCATTGTTTGACAAAGAAAAACAAATGAAAACTGTCATCTTCCAAAAATTTCAATTTACTTATGAGCCTAGACAATATTAGAATATGTACAATGAATACTTTATTGTGAATTATTTATGAAATTATACGATTTTCAACGATGGTATTTCGAAATCTTCAAATTGCGAAATTTTATATTTTGTAATTGTTAATTTATACAATTGAGTTTTTGGAAATAATTAACGTAAAATATCAAATAAGCATAATAATTTAAAAAAAAAATGGAAAAAGAAAGGGAATAAAATTTTATGTGAACGTTTGGAATTTTTTTTATAAAATTTATGAATTTATAAAATGTTTATAATAATCGAATTTTTCAAATAGTAAAAATATAAATAATTTTGGAACTTAAAATAAAACTGACATTTTTAATTGAATATAATTTAAAAAAAACTTCAAATTATACAATTTGCCATTTTTAAGTAGTGTTCAAAATATCAAATTTCTGCTTACGGTTTTGCTTGGAATTTTCTCTAATAAACTTCGACATTTCGGTTTTAGTTTATATTTGTAATAAGTTTATGACTGGGTGTACAATTTCGTGACTAATATCAATGAATTTGTTGGAATAGTGCCAAATTCATATAAATATATATATATATATATATATATATATATATATATATATATATATATATATATATATATATAATGGATATTGACTTTCATTTGCTGAAAGATACATAATAGTAAACAAAAATGTATTTTATACAGACATCCAATCAAATCTTAAGAAGAAAAAGACAAAATTAGGTTCGAATTTTTTTATTACATCTTTCATACGTTTCAAGTTCTTATTTGACTTTTCTCCAACACATAAATACACAAATAATTAAAAAAATACAACTATCACAAATAACAAACAACATATTTAATAATTGGATTGGTATCTGTTTCTTTTGTTATCAAAATATTCAATCTGTACGTTTCGATACCTATGTTTGTGTCATCACTCACTGATAAACACACAAACAAACAAATTAATTATTTAATAATTGAAGAATTAATACACATACTTAGTAATTGGACCAAAACCTAAAAAACAAAATTCAATAGTTAAAATATTTTTTTTTTAGTTTTGTGTATTTGGTTCTATTCCATATTTTGTTATTTATGTTTTCTGGTATTAGCATTAAGATGACGCAAATAAATGCTCGAAATGTTTGCGAACTTTATTAAAACAATTTCAAAACCTTTAAATTTTTTTATTATTTTTTTTAACTTATTAGATATATATATATACATGTATCTATAATAAATAATAAATGGTAGTCTGCCCGAAGGCATGTCCATGGTTTGAGAGCCACCAAAAACAAATGACTACCTTACCCTTCATCTCATTATCACTATTCTCTCTCCACATTTTTTAATTTTTTTTATTTATTTATTTTTTTATTTTATGTATTTTTCTTTCACGTATAGTATGTTTGTAATTTTCCTGAGCGTGTTTTTCCTAAAATTCTCACAAATTCTATCCATTGATGAAATTCCTGGAAATTATCATCATCGGCTGTGACGATGAGTCCGTTCTGACGAATTCAATATCAAGAACATTCTTTGCATATGTCGCATATTACATATGACATGGGAATCCGATGTAGACGGAGAGCCAGCGACGAACTTATTCACTTACACACATTTTTGAGAAAGCATAGACGAAAGATCCAATTCGATGTAGACGGAGAGCCCATGATAAACTTCAAATCGAAAAACAGAGATGAAAGATTAAATTTTTAGTCTCTCTTTCACACACGTACTTTTTTGGTGTAAAAATGGTATGAGTGGCATAAATATTATGAAAATGGCAAAAACGGGGTGCAAATGACGCAAAAGCTGTTATAAATGTATAAAAATGGCACAAAAAGTGTCAAAAATAATATAAACAGCATAAAATTGGCATAGATGGTTAAAAAGTGGCATATACAGCGTAAAAATTATTCAAATTTCAAATAAAATGTCGCAGTCGGAGTAAAAATTATAAAATCGGTATAAATGGTATAAAAATTCAACAAGCAATGTAAAAGATTCATAAATGGTACAGAAATTGTACAAATAGTGTAAAAGTGTCACAAACTGTACAAAATTGGTCCAACATTGGATAAATGGCCTAATTGGTATTCAAATGGACTAAACAACATGAAAATGGCGCAAACGGTATGCAAAAGACATAAACCGCATAAAAATTGCATAAACGGTATAAAATTGTTTCAATTGGTATAAAAATTATATAAACTACATACAAATTACATAATATGGTACAAATGGTGTAAAAGTGGTATGAATAGTAAATATTTTATAAGTGGAATAAAATTGTCACAAGCTGAATAAAAGTGGCATACATAGTATAGAAATTGTACAGATGGTTTATTTATATAGTTTGTACAATTTTGTACAATTTGTGGCATTTTTATGCATTTGGTACATTTAACATCATACAGTTTGTACTATTTTTATACAATTTATGCCATTTTTATGCAGTTTATGCCATTTTTATGCAGTTTATGCCATTTGGGGCATCTTTATATCGTTTGTACTATTTTTATACAATTCGTGCCATTTTTATGCATTTTATGTCATTTTTCTACAATTTATGTCATTTTTATGCCATTCATATATTCATATTCATTCATATATTCATATATTCCAGTTTATGCTATTAGGGGCATTTTTCTATCGTTTGTACTATTTTTATACAATTTATGCCATTTGGGACATTTTTATACCGTTCGTACTATTTTTATACAATTTATACCATTTTTATGCAGTTTATGCCACTTCGAACAATTTTATACCGTTTCTACTATTTTTAACAATTTATGCCAATTCATACAGTTTATGTCGTTTGGGGCATGTTTGCACCTTTTGTACTATCTTTATACAATTTATGGCATTATTCTACATTTTATGCCATTTGGGACATTTTTATATTTTCATACTATTTTTAACAATTCATTGCCATTTTTATACAAATTATGCCGTTTTTCTACCGTTTATGCCATTTGGGGAATCTTTATACCGTTTGTACTATTTTTATACAATTTGTGCCATTTTTATGCAGTTTATAACATTTGGGACATCTTTATATCATCTCCTCTATTTTTTTGCAGTTTATGCCATTTTCTTACAGTTTATACCATTTGAGACATTTTTATACCGTTTGTACTATTTTTATATAGTTCATCCAATTTTTATGCAGTTTATGCCACTTGGGACATGTTTATACCGTTTGTACTATTTTTATGCAATTTATGCCATTTTTATGCACTTTATGCCATTTGGAAGATTTTTATATCGTTTGTACTATTTTTAACATTTCATGACATTTTTTTACAGTTTATGCCATTTGGGGCATCTTTATACAGTTTATACTATTTTTAACAGTTTATGCAATTTTTATCCAGTTTATGCCATTTTCCTACAGTTTATGCCATTTGGGGTATCCTTACACCGTTTGTACTATTTTTATACAATTCATGTCATTTTTCTACATTTTATGCCATAGGGGACATCTTTATACCGTTTGTACTATTTTTATACAAGTTATGCCATTTTTATGCAGTTCATGCCATTTGGGGCACCTTTATACCGTCTGTACTATTTTAAACAACTCAAGCTATTTTTATATAATTTATGCCTTTTTCTACATTTTATGCCATTTGGAACATCTTTATACCGTTTGTACTATTTTTATATAACATATGCCAGTTTTATGCCGCATCTTTATTCCGTTCCTTCTATTTTGAACAACTTATGCCATTTTCCAATAGTGTTTGCCATTTGGGGCATCTTTATACCGTTTATATTATTTTCAACAATTCAAACCATTTTTGTGCAGTTTTTGCTATTTTTACGGACATCTTCATACCGTTGGTACTATTTTTATGCCATCTTTATGCATATTATGTCATTTGTGGCATTTTTAATAATTCATGCCATTCTCCTACAGTTTATCAACAACTCAACCCATTTTTATACAGTTATGCCATTTTTCTAAAGTTTAGGCCAATTTATGCCGTTCGTACTATTTTCATACAGTTTATGCCATCTTTATGCAGTTTATGCCATTTGGGGCATCTTTATACTGTTTGTATTATTCTTATACAATTCATGCCATTTTTATGCACTTCATGCCACTTTTCTACTGTTTATGTCATTTGTACTATTTTTATGTTATTCATGCCATTTTCATGCATTTAATGCCATTTTTCTACAGTTTATGCTATTTGTACTATTTTTATCTAACTCATGTCATTTTTTGCACTTCATGTCATTTTTCAACAGTTTATGCCATTAGGTGCAATTTTATACAATTTATGCCATTTTTATGCAGTTTGTGCCATTTTACTATGGTTTATTCCATTTGGGGAATCTTTATACCTGTTGTACTATTTCTTTACAATTTATGCCATTTTCCTACAGTTTATGACATTGGGGCATCTTTATACAAATCATGCCATTTTTATGCTTTTATGACATTTTCATACAGTTTATGACATCTTTACACCGTTCGTACTATTTTAACAATTAGAGTCGTTTTTCTGCAGTTTATGCCATTTTGTACTATTTTCACCAATTCATGCCATTTTCTTACAGTTTATGCCATTAGGTGCAATTTTATACAATTTATGCCATTTTTATGCAGTTTGTGCCATTTTACTATGGGTTTATTCCATTTAATGAATCTTTATACCTGTTGTACTATTTCTTTACAATTTATGCCATTTTCCTACAGTTTATGCCATTGGGGCATCTTTATAAAAATCATGCCATTTTTATGCTTTTATGACATTTTAACAATTAGAGTCGTTTTTCTGCAGTTTATGCCATTTTGTACTATTTTCAACAATTCATGCCATTTTCTTACAGTTTATGCCATTAGGGGTAATTTTATACAATTTATGCCATTTTTATGCAGTTTGTGCCATTTTACTATGGTTTATTCCATTTGGGGAATCTTTATACCTGTTGTACTATTTCTTTACAATTTATGCCATTTTTTTACAGTTTATGCCATTGGGGCATCTTTATACAAATCATGCCATTTTTAAGCTTTTATTACATTTTCGTACAGTTTATGACATCTTTACACCGATCGCACTATTTTAACAATTAGCGATGTTTTTCTGCAGTTTATGCCATTTTCTTACAGTTTATGTCATCAGGGGCAATTTTATACAATTTGTGCCATTTTTATGTAGTTTTCACCATTTTGTTAGAGAATCCGAGAACAACCCCATAAATTCTTGCAAATTTAATTCTCTATTAATATCACAAATTCGGGCTAGCTCGAAGTTTGTACAAATTATTCCTCGTTATCTATTACCAAATATTTGTCGACTACTAGAAATCTAAAAGATAAAACTACAATGTAATTATGAAACGCTTAAAAATCAATTACAATTATCTCACCGGCGCGTTTCTCGTTTCTCGTCGCCGGTTATCGCAAACAAAACCGATATGAAATTATTTACGATTCGATAAGATTTCATCGAATGATAAGAGTAGGAGATGAGTGATAAGAGTGTCTCTTTTCTGTGTCCTTGGAGTGCGAGTATGCCAGATTTATAATAGAGATACCATTATACCACCGGTATACACACCGGTTGTGCAACCGGTATTTCGCTGGAATTTTATTCTACTGTATAAATATAATAAATTTCGAGATAAGGAGATGGAAATAGATTGCTGCAAATATTGAATTGTAAATAATGACATTCTTGAGTTAAAATAGTTTTTGTTTTTTTAATTATGATAGCAGCGCACTTATGTTGATACTTTTGTATCACTGTGATATATAAATATATGATGATAACCTATAAACATTACATATATGATGTTTTTTCTTAGTTTCTTTATTTGTGCAGTTTATATTGATAGTATATCGTTAGTACAATTTAGTAATGTTTGTACCAATTTTATACCACTTGAATAATTTAAAAAAATGCGTTTATACCATTTTCGTATCTGTTGTACGATTTCTATACCGTTTCTACTACTTTTATGCAGCTTGTGATATTTTTGTACCCCTAGTACCATATTTATACCGTTTGTGCAACTTTTATTCCGTTTGTACCATTTTTATACCGTTTACATTTCTTTACACCGTTTACATCATTGTTATTATGTTTTTACTATTTTTATATCATTTTTTGTACATAAATTGTTCTTAGGTTTTTACATTGTATGCCATATTCATACCCTTTTCCCATATCAACACTGTGTGGCATATTTAAACATTTTTTAATTTTTATTCGATTTGTGGCATTTTTATACTGTTATACAAGTTTTATACTATTTTTATACAATTCATGTCGTTTTAAGCAGTTTATGCCATTTTTATATCATTTGTGGCATATTTATACCATTTTTATTTTGTTTATGGCATATTTATGCCGTTTGTACCATTTACTCATGCCATTTTATGCAGTTTATGCCATTTGGGACATCTTTATACCTTTTGTACTATTTTTATACAATTAAGCAATGGTCATGCCATTTTCCTACAGTTTATGCCATTTGAGACATTTTTCTACCTTTTATACCATTTTTATACAATTCATGCCATTTTTATGCAATTTATGCCATATTTTGTTAGCATCATAACAAAGCTATATTGTCCGAGAATGGGCAAATTTAATACTCTATTATACATTTTATTTAAGTTTATACTATTTTATATTATATTATATTATATTTATACTATTATACTTATTTACTTTTGTACTATTTTTATATAGATTATGTCATTTTTATGCTGTTTATGCCGTTGGGACATCTTTATACCGTACGTACTATTTTTATACAATTTTTACCTTTTTCCCACAGTTTGTGTTATTTGAGACATATTTAAACCGTTTCTACTATTTTTAACAAAACATGTCATTTTTATGCAGATTATGCCATTTTTCTACAGTTCATGCCATTTACGGCATGCTTCTATTGTTTTTGTACTATTTTTAACAAATATACCATTTTCCTACAGTTATGCCATTTGGAACATCTTTATACCGTTTTTACTATTTCTATACAAATTATGCTATTTTTAAGTAGCTTATGCCATTTGGGGCATCTATATACCGTTCGTACTATTTTAAAAAATCTATCCATTTTTATGCAGTTTATGCAATTTTTCCACAGTTCATACCATTTGGAACATATTTATACCGTTTGTACTATTTTTAACAGTTCATGCCATTTTTTATTGTTTATGCCATTTGGGGCATCTTCAAACCGTTTGTTCCATTTTCAACAATTCATACCATTTTTATGCAGCTTATGTTATTTTATACTGTTTATACTATTTTAATCAATTCATATCATTTTCCTGCAATTTTTGCCATTTGGGACATCTTTATACCGTTTTTACTATTTTTATACAAATTATGCTAGTTTTAAGCAGTTTAAGCCATTTGGGACATCTTTATACCGTTTATAATATACCATAAATGAATTGTAAATTATAATGCATGGTATTCAAAAGAATCGAGTCTTTGAAGAACCTTTGTCACAATACTATTTCCAGGTAATAACTTAAAAAATTTTTTTTTTAATTCTTAGTTATATATTTTAATAATTTTCGGCTACAAAATCTCTCTCTTAGTAGTAAATCGGAGTAAATTTGTTTGTTCTTAAAATTAAGCAGTCGGCCGTGGCTTCTTCGCCCACGTGTCTATGGCTTTGTTAATGGTTTAAAATCGCCGCTCGAACATTTTAAATGAATTCAATTAAATAAGACAAACACATTAATATTGAACGAATTACGACCGACGAGGTAATTGATTGTGTTTTGTAACGAGAGATAATTGTTTCGAGTTCGGGTTTCATAACTACAGATTTTGAAGAAAGAATTTCATACATGAGGTAGTAAAAGAGGTTCATTTTGGCGGTCTTACATACCTTAGGGCAAGTCATACTTGAGAAGATCAAAATGTTATTATAAGGGTAATAGCTATGCTCGGTTACATGCTTTATTACATTTGGGAAGTTTGTACTATTTGTATACATTTTATGTCATTTTTATTCATTTTATGCCATTTGGGATATCTTCATATTGTTTATACTATTTTTATACAATCTATGTCATTTCATTGCAATTTATACTATTTTTATGCAGTTTATGCCATTTTTTTTACATTTTATGCCATTTGGAACATCTTTATATTGTTCGTTCTATTTTTATGCAGCCTATGCTGTTTGGTCATTTTTATACCGTTTGTGCCATTTTTAACAATACAAGCCATTTTCATACCATTTATGCAATTTGGGACATCTTTATATCGTTTGTACTATTTTCAACAATTTATGTCATTTTTCTACAGTTCATGGAGATTTTTATGCCGTTCGTATTGTTTTTATACAATTTTTGCCATTTTTATGCAATTTATGTCATTTTCCTACAGTTTATGCCTTTCGCGGTCTCTTTATACCGTTTATACTATTTTTATACAATTTATGCCATTTTTCTACATATTATGCCATTTGTGTCATTTTAATGCCGTTTGTAATATTTTTATACAATTTATGCCATTTTTATGCAACTTATGTTATTTGGGGCATTTTTATACCTTTTGTGCCATTTTTAACAATACAAGCCATTTTTATACCATTTATACCGTTTGGGACATCTTTATATCGTTTGTATTAATTTCCACAATTTATGCCATTTTCCTACAGTTTGTCATTTGGGACATCTTTATATCGTTTGTACTATTTTTATACAATTTATGCCATTTTTTACAGTTTAGGTCATTTGGGACATCTTTATATCGTTTGTACTATTTTCCACAATTCATGCCATTTTCCTACAGTTTATGCTATTTGTGACATTTTTATGCCCTTCGTATTATTTTTATACAATTTGTGCTATTTTTATGCAGTTTATGCCATTTGCTGCAACCTCGTTTCGATAGGACGTTCAGTTTTTTTTTGGTATCTTTCCCGCCAATTAGAAAGAATCGAAAAAATTAAAAACTCAGAAGACGCTTGTTCAAGATTTCTTCTATTACTACGAATATAATTTGAATTTGTTTCTGAAGTTGGCTAGTTTTAAAAGACATTTTTGCAAATTTTTTCCCTCTTAAGAAGTGTAGCTTCAAAAATAACAATTACACTCATGAATAGGTATCCTCCGAGAGTCTTTGTATAAAAACTCGGTCAACCGTCAGCCGTCAGCCGTCAACTGTCTACCGTCAGCCGTCAGCCGTCAGTCGTCAGTCCGCCGTGTTCCACATTCGCGAACGATTTATTCAGGTTAAGAACACATTGTTGTGGATATTGACAAGACGGCCGTTTTATCTACAATATTATTATTTCATTTATATTATATATATTTTATCACAGTTTTAATAACAAATAATCCTCACACGATTTTTATTGCGTATTTAGACTAGATTTAATTTTAATCCCTTTTATCAGACACAGTAGCCATGTCGGATTGAGAAATAATAAGAAAGAGATTATTACAAGTCGAATTCAAGTAGCATAGAGGAGGCTTTGTTACGTACGGGTTACGTAGATGAAACGTTGGTTTATAATGTTGTCTTGAGTAGGTTAACTTCAGTACAAACAAACCAACATGTGGTAATACTAAAGGAGGTACTCAGTTGGTAACATTAGGTGTGTTATAGGATGACATACTATATTGTCCTAAAATTAAAATTATATTAATATAAAATATTAAAATAGATTAAGTAGTAAGAAGGGAAAAAGAAGTTCAGTTTAGAAGATGAGAAGAACACATTGAGAAACAAGAAGAAGAATGAAAATTGAATAGAATTGAAAGAAGAAAATTGAATGGAAGATTAAGATATAAGAAAACGTATTATATATATGATGAATGTATAAGAAATATATATGTAAGAATTGTATAGAATATGATGAAAAATAATGTGAACAATGTAGGTGGCTAAAATACTGTAAAGCGGAGGCCAATAAAATTAAAATTAAAATAAAAAAAAAATATATTCCAAATAAATATAAACGTAGTAAAATGTTTTTATTGATATTGATATTATCACTATCTGCGATTGGCACAAATGTATATGTATTTATATATGTACAATAGTAGAATAAATTAGCATTTCATGAATAGTCAAAAAAACACTCCCATTTTTATTTAAATAGACATTTAAAATACTTCGCAGATGATTCACGTTCAGAATAAACACAATTGTATTGAAAACGGCGACGTCTTTGTTGAAAAAATCAATAGCAAATCAATTTAAAATCATATGAATGATATTTTTTTTATAAATAGAATAAAAATAGGTAAATTGAATGGCATTGCTAGTTCTTTTATATAATTATTATTAAACTAGTAGTGCATGGCATCGTGGCAAATTGCTAGAACTTCCTGTACTGTAATGAAATATTCAAGGATTTTAAAAATATTATAATTAATATTGTAATTTTTATTATTCAACTTTTATAGACAAAATATATGAGCAATTGGACGATGGCGTTTATATAAGTTTACATGAAAAGTGAATAAACAAAACTTTTTTTTTTAAATTTTTATTTGGCCTCGTTTACTCTGAGCATTTGGCCTCCTACAACATTTTTATTTATTTACATTCTATACCAATTTTTATAACATATTCAATCCATATATATATTCTATTCTATATTCTTCTTCTTCTTAATTTCTTCAATTTTTGCTGTTTTTTATCAGTTTTCTAATTCTAGACAATTTTTATCTTCATTCCATTTTTCTTCTTCATTCTTCTTTTCAGTCTCAGCAAATTCTGATAATTTTTCTTCTTACTCTTAATACAATTCAGCTTTTTCGAATTCTATAATTCTTATATTTCTTAATTTTTATTCAATTTCTACCTAACAAATACAATTTTCGTTTAATTTCAAAGTAACTACACATTTTTTTTTTCATAAATTCTAAGTCGATGACAGGATTCGATCCAAAGATCCCTATCGTGTGAATCGAACACATTACCAAATAAATGACCTATGCTCGCCACAATAAACGAAACTTGCTCAAGTGGAGCTAGAATTAAAGGACCTTATCTCATATTTCTAACAAGAAAGAATTGTAAGAATTATATGAATTTATTTGATGTATACTTTTAAGTATATAAGTGAGTTTCAGCATTTTAGCTTGAATTTAAATTAAAGTCTAAATTATTTTTGATATTTAGAAAAAAAGGATAAATAAAAAAAATGTAATTTTATATATTTTTTTTTCTATCCAAAAAACTAATTGTTTCTTCACAAGCAAAATGTTTATTGATTCATATCAACCGGATGCTTTTTTCTATCAAAAACTGCAATTTCTTACACTCTTATCTCCAAAACGGCTGGACCTGCCTTTGCCAAAATCTAGTCACCACGTCTTTTCATCATTAGGAATAGAATGTTTTTTGAATCATTCAAATCGGATGCTCTGTTCTCTCAAAAACTTAATTTCTGTTTTCTACACTCTTTGCTTGGTATCTCCGAAACGGCTCGACCGATCTTTTCCAAAATCTAATCAGCACGTGTCCTTATCAATAGGAATCGAATGCTTTTTGAATCATTCAAATCGGTTGAGCGGTGCTCCTGAAAACGTTGATGAAAAATTATATCCACACACAAATCCATTTTTTTTGAGGTATGCCAAAATGTTCAGAAACCTTTGAAACGTGAAGATATGATTTCAATTTCGAATTTTGGACGATAACAATAACTTACCCTACTGGAAGTTAATAATATATTTAATATATTCCTCGTGATTAAAATTTGTGATTTTCTGATCATATAATCGCAAGTAATCGCAGTAATCGCAAAAAAATC